TTCCCAGGCAGGCACAACACACGAAACGGACTCTCCGTGGGAATGAACTACCCCTAGAGAACAAGAAACAGCCCCTGGACACCCTCAGCTACGCTTTTTTTTTTTTTTTTGTCCCACCATGTGTAACTTTTAAAGCTCGCTTCAAAACACACTTTTAATTTTTCCAAGCAGTAAGAACCCCTTTATCATCCAACGGGCTTAATTTTACTCGCTCCTGTCGTTAAGCCACTCTCTACCTGATTTCTCAGGGGCAGTTTTGCTCAGTTTCTAAATAACCTGCATCACTGCATCCTTTAAAAATCATATTTGTAGGTAATAATATTTATAGGTATGCCACAGAATTTACTGTGCACGAGTTACTTTTGAGCTTGACTGTTTGCAAACACACGGCTCCTCCTGCGCTCCTGTTAAAAGCCTGAACCACCACATCGACTTGACACGTACAATTTGTCTCAAAAATCGAAAAGATCTTCAGCCAAACTCGCGGCAGACCGGCAGGATTTCAAACTGAATCCTCTTTTATTTCATCTATAAGCATAGAGCCACTCTCCGCACGCCAGGCGAAGGAACGACGCTGGCTCTCCGCTAATTACTTGGGATTTATGGATATTTGGAAGCAAGAGCTGACTGCGATGCACGGGGCTGGTTAACTCCTACAAGAGGTCGGGACTCTCCTTAGCACAAGCACCGGCGTTATCCAGCCTTGTTTACTCTTTATACAAATGTTCGTGCACGAGTCCGCGTACATCGTACACCCACATAAAAAAATGAAAGAGTACAAGTTCCCAGGTCGTGTAAAGGCATGCGAGAAGCATAGACGAACGTGCAGAAAAGCAGAAGTTAAGGTACAAGCAGAAAAAAAAAACCAACAAAACACAAACCCAGCCTTTCACTCTCATCCTCAGAGAGGAATTTTAACATGGCTTTAATCCCCTAAACCCTGAAAAGCCGGTGTGTGACATATCCCAAAGCGCTACACCTCCCGACGCTGCGGGATGCGAAGCAAATCAGCTAAATTCTGTTGCTGGGTATATAACGAATTGTGAGGGCACACTGGAATTATGGTATATAACGAATCATGAGGGCACACTGGAATTACGCTGAAAGTTTGCAACAGGATGGGCTTTTGAGAAACCTTTCTGCAAAGCCCTTGGAGGGATCGCACCACAGCAACTCACCCCAACGCGGGACAGGGTTCACGTGCCACGGTGCTCACGGGTACCGCCTGCTCTTACACAAGCACAGAGTTATTAAGGTTGGAATAGACCTCTAAGATGATCAAGTCCAACCATCAACCCAACACCCCCAGGGCCACTAAACCAGGTGCCAAAGCAAAGGGGAGGTGCTGGCACGAAGGGCCTGTGCCAGCCCAGATAGACACAAAGACGAGGGACGTGACTCAAGCAAGGAGGGAGAAGCCTTGATACAGGGCACGTGAGCAAACAGCACCGGCCCTGTGCTGGGGTGAGAGAAAGAACGGGGTAAAACACAAAAGAGTCCTGGGAAAAATACAAAAGAAGCAAAACGGGCAGAGAAAAGGTTGTACCAAACGGGTAGAAGGATGAGAGACTTGGACTGGAAGTGGCAGCCAGTGAACGACTATTTCATTCGGAGGGGATTAGGGCCAGTGAAGTAAATAAGTATAGAAAAAGGAACAAAACTAAGCAGCAACTGTTAGATTTGTCGCTGGTTAAAGATTTTATTAGTTGAAGCAGTTGGGTAGGAACTGAAGACCTTTGGCTGACGCCAGGGGAGGGGAGAGCTGGATGGAGAAGAGAAGGCACTGATTGATTCCCTGAGCCCGAGGTAGCGCCGAGGCCAAAGAAAGTCACCGTGGCAGAGGCTGCATGGAGAAAAACAAAAACAAAAAGGGGAACAGACACTTGTGTTTGTGCCAATGTGTTTCTATCCTTGTTTCTGTAACTCCAGAGAAGGGATCTGGGTTTGTAAACCGGCCCCGCGTGCTCTGGACACAAGTTAATTAAGGATTTATGTACTTTTTTGCCGTGGCTTTGTATTTCCACGTTACGGCCTCTCGGTTAATTCAAAAAAGCCATTTTGTTCGTTCCTGTGATCCCCAGTTATAACAAAGCGACAGGAAAAATCTGCCAGATTTACTTAAGCTGATACCAAGGACAAAACACAGGATATTCCATCCATATTCCCCTTCCTTTTACGGCCGTGGTTAGAAGGTTACGAAAGCTCCGAAATTTACAGCGACATCAGCGCCACCTTCGACAGCACTTCGTTCCATGAAGAACCCATCCAGAATCTATCAGACTTTGAAGAAAATGAAAGAAAAAGGGAAAGAATTCCCCGATTTCAACACGGCTCATTCCTTTTGCCACGGGTCTGGGGCCACAGTGATGCAACTCCTTGGGAGGACACGAGATTTGGCTCCTCTTGCTTGGAGACAACCGACAAACCTCGCAATATTCTAGCTGGAGTAAACAGCTGGCATTTGCTACTTGCAGTGCAAATGCTGAAAGTAATTTGTCTCCCTCCAGGGTAATTTTATTCATGTGTGCCAGTTTGCTTCAAACCCCGAGTTCTGCGCTTTTCGTAACAGGATATAAATCACGCCGCTAATGACAAATAAAAAGAGACATATACGACGTGCTCACCCTGATGTCAATTGATTGTGGGAAATATGAATCAATGTGTGACAGAGAGCTAAAATAAAATTAAGAAAAAAAAAAATAAAAGCTTTGCTGGCTCACCAGCCTAAAGAATATAACCACATCTCGTTTCAAAACACATTCTTTTATCTAGAGGGATGTAACGCAGCCTAGCCCCAATCAAAACATTACTGTTTCCTCCTCCAAAACTTTCAGGAAAAACACTCTGTATCCTTTCAGACACAGGAGGCACAGAACTGGGAGCGTTCTGATAGGAAAATCTCGCCTTCCTTTCATAATTTCCAAATCAGAAGCCATCTCGGGGGGAGGGGGAAAGCTGGAAACACTAAAAGAAAAATAATTCCCTCCAAAAAAAAAAATCTTTGTTCTTGCTGCATTTAAATGTAAACTTCCTTCGAAAGTAAATGGCAGTCATTGTTTTCTGCTATCCTGAGTTACAGTATGATCAAGGGAACTGAGAGCTGGCAAAACTCGTCAACAAAAATAATCTGGGATGGAATTTAACTCAGAACCCCAGCCCTGTTCACCAATGATGTCAAGATTGACTTCTCTCACGTAGGGAATAACACGATTTCCTAAACATCTGAAAAACATTTCTTACCCTCACCTACAAACTGTCACAATTTACTTAAGCGGCAATGACAAAACTCGCTTTTTTTTGTTTGTTTGTTTCATTTGAATATTTCACCTGGAGTCAGTTAAGATTCACCCTTGAGGGGCTACGAATCCAGCCTGAACCTCTCCACAAGCCGCTGACCTGCAATTTTCTTGCGTGGTCCTTTTGTTACCGAATAAAAATCTCCATCCTGAAAACGCACCCAGGAAGGCTCATTTCCACATCTGGCCACCTTCTTCTTTCATGCAAGATGTTAATATAATTTCTTTTCAACATATTCACCTATCCATATATAATTACTAGCACTGGACCATTAAAAGCCGTGAGTCAGGATCACAAGGTTAAACTTGCTAAAAGTTGGGATTCTTCTTGGTCGCTTTATTTTTTGGAGCTTTCCAGGGTAACACAAGACTTGCTCTACAATTTTATGCATCAGACCCTTCAATCAAAAAGGAATTTTCACGTATTCCCAGCATTAGAAGCTTAGGCTGGCTAAAAAGCAACAAACATCCTATAGTTCAAGTTAGAAAAAGGGCAGAAAACCACCCACAAAGCGTTAAAAAGCGGAAAGCAACTGTCTCCAGGAGAACTAACCTAAGAATTCCTGCAAGGGGACTTTCTCCTCATTATTAGATTCTGTAACGTACTCATGAAGTTTTCCATGATTTTTTTTCCCCCCTCTCCCACAAGCCACAAACTAAAATCGTGCTATAAATT